AGAATTAGGGTTCACCTGTTATTTATTATTTTATATAATTAATTTTTGAGCATTAATAAAGTAAAGTTCTTATATTTCCTAAACTCAATTTTTTTTAACAACTTATGCCATCAAAGAAATCTATAAATTATTAAATACTACCTTTCAAATTATCCCGTTATAGTATTTCGCTATTCTTTTTAAGAAAGTGAACTTTAAGGAAGTATCTTAAAGTACATACAACAGAAATAAATTTTAGCTCAATTTACGTTCATTTTTAGATAAAATATTATGCTGTATTATACCCTCTAAAATGTATATATTCTATTTGCTCGTTAAGTATATTAGAACACTCAAAAACACTTTAAACAATACTGAGGAAATACTAAATTGATTGTTGGAAATTCAAACACCCCAGCTAATTGCTTGTACATAAAAGCATTCTAGTAAGAAGGTAATAACTTCTAGTAATTGTTCAGGTAGAATTGCGTGTAAACAAAAAGCTCCCGTAAACAAAGCGGACCTGTCATCTAAATCACTAAACACTGTTGACACATCACTAGACACTGTGATACAACCAACATATTTATGTTGGACTCAAAGTAAGATATAATTTATTCTGTATCTAAAATATTAAAAACTTTGTTATGAAGTCTACTGAAGAACAGAGACAGTTTGTTAAGTGAGTTATTAACTTGTTTTGATGTAAAATATGTAAGAGTTTTTAAACTACTGGTAAAAAATTTCTCTCTGGCAATTTAGTTAAATATCACAGCTAATCGCCAACACTTTCGTAAGCAGCTTCTTTCAGTTATCTTTCTACGGTATGACGTATTTAAAAATTATACAATATGAATTGAGTTGAGAAAGTTCTTTCAAGAGTGAGCATTCAACAGTATTTATTCAATGTGTTATGCCTTTCATTTCAATGAAACGTTTTTCTTTTCTCATGTATTTTTCTACTCCTTACTATTATTAGACCAAGAAAATCAATGATATGTCATTAAAGTTCAGAACATATTTAGTATGCACATATTTATCCTTTGAGATTTTCCAAATATACTTTGTCAGTTATCTACAACACAAATGGCTTAACTGATTTTAAGTATACATCAAGAAAAAACAATTTTCAATATAATTGAAAAATTAAAAATGCGTTTGAAGGAGCAAAAATACAGTTTTAGAGAGCAATCAATTTCTCACTGATATTGACATTGAAAGAATATTATTCGAATTATTCTTCTAATCACCTGAAAGAACATAAATAAATTGTGTACTTACTAAGATATTTTATCTGTTAAAATATACAACGATGAAGCTTTTTAATATTCTGTGTAAGAAAAAGAATATCAGAACAAAAGAATCATTGTTCAAAAAGAATATCTCTAATTTTCTAAAAAATAATTTAGGAAATGAGAAATACATCTATTTTAATTTAAAAGAAAGACTCCAGAATTCATCCATTTACGCTGTTTCTCGAATTGGTGGCTCGAAAGATTTAGGAGTCAAACTATTATGGATGTTAATATTAACGGCAGCTCTCTCTGGGTGTTGTACTCAAACGTACAGATTCGTGAATTTGTATTTTCAATATCCTATCACGGTAAACTATAGATTGGAATCGCAGAGGAATGCTGAATTTCCTGCTGTTACTATTTGCAACATGAATCGAATGAAATCTAAGTTTGAGATTTGTCTTTCGTCAAAAAGTTGTGTTCTAAATAAGCCATCTTCTGGCGGAATTGGCGGGGGATTAACAAGTACAGGTCCTCTTGTGTTACCGGAAAGACGTAATTATCTCTCGTGCACAATTCAGTTAAAAGAAAATCTGCACAAACCATTAGGATCCACTGAGAAGTTCCTGGATAAATATTCTGAACTAAGTTCTGGTGACAGATGGAGATATGGTCACCAATTTGACGATTTAATTGAAAAGTGTTCATTCAGAGGGAAATCTTGCGAAAGTTTCTTTAGCTCGTTTCCTAACTTCCAATATGGTAATTGTTTCACTTTTAACAGTTTTAATGGATTTTCTGTAACTGCTGAAGAGATGACACTTGCTGAAAACAGCAAAGGCTTGGAATTAGTTCTGAATGCTGAAGTCAATCAATACATTCCAATTTCTCATACAGTTGGATTCAGAATTGTTATACACAATGCATCGGAAGAACCTAATCCGGAAGAAAATGGAATGAATATCATTCCGGGGTATGAGACCAATGTTCTTTTAAGACGGACCTTGACTAAAAGATTGCCGGCACCCTACAAAGACAAGTGCGTGTTATATTCGAAAAACAAACCTTTTGTGGGAAGTCAAACACTATGTATGCAAGCCTGCATTCAAGAGTACAACTACGCTAAATGTGGTTGCATAGAATCTTCGTTCATAATACTATCAGGTCGAAGACAATGCAATATAAAAAACTCGACGGACGTATGTTGTTTGGATAGGGTTTTGAACCATCTGTCCTTTCACGGGACAAACTGTGAGTGCCCATTACCTTGTGTGTCAATGTACTACAATCAAATCAGTACGAGGTCTATTTGGCCATCAAAAGCTTCTTTTTTCATAGAAAAGGCAAATACAACGAAGAAGGATTGGAAGAATTACAGGGCATCTCATGCAAAAGTTAATGTTTTCTTTTCAACGTTAGATAGGACTGTATACGAACAAAATCCTTTGTTCCATGAGTCCGAAATATTCAGTCATTTGGGAGGAGAATTCGGTCTGTGGCTCGGATTATCGTTAATTGCTGTGTTTGAACTCTTAGAGACATTTTATAAGTTTGTGGATCACGTTATGAAAAGTTTTAGATGAATTGAATCATTGTCTTTTGCGCACAATTATTTGCATTTTCTCTTATACACCTTAAGCAGAGTGAATTATAATTGAAAAACATTACATTGTGAATGCAAAATTGTATGAGAATGTTTTTCGATAATTATTTTTAAAATCTATTCTAAGACATTCGTTTCTACAAAATAGAAAAATCAAACAGTGAAGCCAATTCAGATTTAAAAAGTTTATTATATTTTAGCACTAATTGTTACTATACTCATGGTATTATAACAAAAATGTTTTTTTTTTTCATATTTAGCTGTCTTTTTATTTTTATTCGTCCCTTTGGATACTAAATTTTGTCAAAATAAAAATATATCCTATTTATTTAGGCTTTTTCTAGTGGCATTGCTGAATGATAATTTTTCAACCAGTGCAGCTCTAAAAATATTTACTTAAAAATTGTACTAAAACCAAACTTATAAATAATAAAAAATTAGCATATTTCAATATTCATTTATTATTTTTTTTAAAATTTGAAGTGTTTCAAAATACTTTAATTTCTTCATTTCACCATTTCGAAATGTAGTTTTTAATTTTTCATCTGTATCATGTCAGTAGAAAGAACTCTCAATGAATCCCTTTTCGTAAAATAACGGAGAAAAAATTAATATTTTCTCTTTTTTTCTGAAAACATTTTCTCCCATTATAAAATAGTTAGTTATATTTACATGTTACCGTAATATTTTGCATTGAATTGATATTTAACTGAATAAAAAATGACTTCTGAGAAATAATACAAAATTATAATCTTTTATTTCATTATAAATGTATGTTTTTCAGTCACATTGTACACTATCATTTATGATAATGAATTTTTAATTCTTTGAATCAAATACAATAAATCATAAATAAAGAAAATATTTCAGCAATGTGCATCGTTTTGTCTGAAAACAATAATGCTACGAAACATAGTTCCAATTCAATTGGCATCTTCCTGGTAAAATTTGTATTTAGATATTTTTTTGCTAAGTTCTATTCTTCTTAAATTTAAAAAAAAATTCTTACACTCAAATTACACAATTGTAGGTGAATTATTGTATATATTATTTGTTTTATTTGAGATGGTTAAAAATTGGTGAAAAAAAAATAATTTAAATCATTCACAATTTTGCTGTACTCAGTAATTTAAAAAGTTTCATAAATTTTGCATTCATTTGATATGATGTATTTTATTGTTAAGCTTTTAAATCATTGCCATCTATGCTCTTTATGAGGATATGTTATCTATAATAACGTAACTCAATTATGATAGAATTGTGAGGAATCATATTTTCGTGTTTGCGTTCTACAATTGCATTGGTAATATAAGAATTTCTTATTATTTTTTTAATTTCGTGTTCATTTTTCAATAACTCCTACCCGCAATGATAACAATATAAAAACCATTCTCAAATTAAAGATAATCTAAATTTAAAGTATAAACATATGTAATTTGCAATTTTATCATGCTGTTTTAGTTTCTCCGTAAGTAATCAAGAGAAAAATTTAATCATTTATGTTTAGATACTAAAATGTTTTTAAATATGCGAAAATTCTATTTGTAAGAAGGAAATACTAAATACTATCCCCCCCCCCCCCCCAAAAAAAATACTTGTTTACTATTTATAGTAAGATATGCTCCTTTTAAAAATTTTAAAATGTTTTGAAACCGCGATGTTATCTTTACACTATGTGTTCTTACAAACGCTCTTTATATATGTTGGGAATATCTGTTACCATACTATAAAAGGAAGAGAAAACAATAGAAACTGAAATATAATGGCCATATTACTGTTAATGTAAAGTCAAATAAATATCACCTTGGATAAATATAATGATTATGTGATTCGCTCACATATACCACCAGTACCGTACAATTTACTGTTCAGTACAGAATGAAACAAGTAATATATTTTTAAAAATTAAGTCATTTCCTACTTAATACAGCAAAGAAAAATTTTATTTGAGTTACTTTTTATTAAATAATTACAATTAATATATAAAAATGTTACATATGACAGAATCACAATATTAAATGGCAAAATGGGGGGAAAAAATTTCTTGCAATTTTCCATTTTCCTTTCTATATATGGAGTTATAGACTATTGTTTTTGTTTGTAACTATTTATTCATTAAATAAATTTAATTATTCCAATAAAATAGTATTAGTAAAAATAAATCACATCCACAAGAATTTTGACATCCCAGGTGGGATTCGAACTCACTACCTTTAGATTAGAAGTCCAACGCGCTATCAGTTGCGCTTCAGAGACGCAACGAGTGGTTTTCCTTTTATATATAGTGTTGGACTATTATTTTTGTTACTATTTATTTATTAATTGTATTTAATTAATGAATTAATATTTGAAAAACTGCATTAACATCAAGTGTCATCCACTACAAATTTTAAAAAATGTGTTTGAACTTGAGTAGAAAAATAAAAAATATTTTATTAACGATTGAAAAGTTGAACAAGATATATATATAGGAGAGAGAGTGAACTATAGTTGGAATTGAAAAGAGACGACATTTATTACGTTTTTGAGGTTCGTAATGATCATCTGCATATTAGTTTTTGAATTAGTTTAATTACATCACGATATTCACGGCACAGTACATTACACTTATGTACAGAGATTAATTCTACATTCTATTCTAAGAGCGGCATTTACATATTCGAAATTATTCTGTACAGTTACAGTTATCATTATTTAACTAGTAACAGTATAATATATATACATCACAACATTCAAGTAAAAAAATAATGTTATTTTGTAAGAAATACCTCGTGAGAAGAAACGTAGATATTTAACACAACTTATAACCCTGATATGTATTGGTGTTCAAAGAATTAATGAATAAATAAAATTGAGGGGAAAAAATTCCGTTAACAGTGTGTGATGACCTCGAAATGCTTAATTTTCAGGTAATCAAATCTTGGAGTGTAAATCGTAATATATTCGTGTAATTGTGGCTTCTATTTTTGCTTTTAGTATATTGTTTTGTTTATGTAACCAGCAAAATTTTCTGTCTTTCGTGAAATACCAATAGTTTTGGATCATTTATATAATCACACAAAGTTCCTCACAGCAAATAATAAGATGCAAGTCTTTTATTTGTCAATGTATAGAAATTTTTCTCCATTTTAATATTAGTTTTATTACAGAATGTTCTTTATTTTTATAAATATGAGCTTTACTACTCTTATGTGTTGATATGAAAAGTCATACTATCATTTTTCCATCAAAACTCTAAAACGCGTCACTAATGAATAAAATACAAAGTATTTCTTCCCACAACTTAATTAATGTTCCACTGGTTTGTAATACTCCCTTCATAGTAATGTAAAAGAATAAAACCTTATTATTTTAATAATTTGACTCTTGACATTACTCAGAATCACAAACAATTTGTATTTTAGATAAAATTCATATGAAAACGAATATAACCGATGGATGGGCTGAATTTTAAATAAAACACTTTTGAACAGCATACCTATAAAGACTCAATTTTGTTCAAATGCGTTATTTTTCTGAACTTTGAAATGGATTGTGTATAGTTTGTAAATGATTACAAATTGACTTTGAAACTTGTTAAAGTTGTATAGTTTATAACCAGATAAAAGCAAGTAATATAAAAAATATATATAAATCAATTCCTACTTAGATCAACAAAACAAAAATTTATTTTAGTTACTTTTTATTATATAGTTACAATTAATATAAATATTATATACATATGACAGAATCACAGCATTAAGTGGCAATTAATTCTTATTAATTATTTTTAAAGTATCATATTGTCATCCAAAACAATCGTGTATATAAAATTTCGGTTCAACTGAATACTTTGAAACGGGACAAAAAAAATCTTTTAAATGGTTTTGACCCAAGTCACTAAAAATGAAGCAACGTGGCTGTATCAGTAATTCTTTAATTAATTATAAATAAATTATCGTATTGAAATACCCAAAACAAAAGTGTATAGAAAATTCAGCTCAAAGGAGTGCTTGAAAATGGGAGAAAAGAATCTTTTTCAAGTTTTGACACAAGTCGCCAATAATGATGCCAACGTGGCTGCAATTGTAATTTTTTGAATAATTAGTTTTAATCAATAAATTTTTACTAATTATAATTAAATGACTGTATTGTCGTCCAAAATAATCGTGTATATAAAATTTCAGCTCAATTGGTGCTTTAAAACGTATTTTATCAACGATTGAAAATTTGAAAAAGATAAATATATATATAAATATACAGAGAGTAACTAATAGTGGAAATTGAATGACACTCGACAGAGAGTACCAAATATTAAACAAAAAAATATTTAATAATTTTCCTTTTTTTCATATTTTTAAGCAAATTACACGTAAAATTAGTAATTCATGTACTGAATATTTTAAAGAAAAGAACAATTTTTTTTATTGTATCGGTATAAAAAAATTTCTAAGCAAAATTGATTTTTCAGAGCCAAAAGCAGTTAAAGCTAAAAACTTATCAAATTTTTTCCCTTCAGGCAGTGATTTTTATAAATCAATTACTGTACTCTTTGTATATTTTGAACGTAGAAATCTTTCCAGAGTAAGAGAGAGATTGTTTCTATTTTTTTATTTATTATAAGGAATTAAAAAGTGATGTTTCGAGTAACTTTTGAATTGTTAAGTATTTCCTTGAAAAGACAGATAGGTGCGTTTGTACACACATTACAGTGGACCGAAAGAATTTTTTTTCTTTTTCAATCAAATTTACCCTCCAAAAGTCGCATTTCGAGTAAATAAAAAGGCAAACAAGATTTTCGCCGTAAAAAATATCTTCAGCTCAAAAATTTTAAAAATTAAAAAGTTTCGTTTTCCAATCCCATATCGCTATTTTTCTAAATGTGAAGCTTGGAGATATTAGGAGCGAGAAAACGTAATAAAACCTGCCCATTAGAAACATGCTGTTTGTGCAAAACATTCAAAAAGCTCTTTTTTTGTAAAATTAACAATATTTTGTAACTTTATTTGATTTTATCTTTTCACCTTAAATAAATGAGTTTTAATAAATGGTCAGCATATTTCACATATCGAATATTTTAACACAATATTTTGACCTATAGTTAAGCATGTTTTATAAAATTATCCAATATTTTTATTCAAATTCTGAATCAGATTTTTGATATCAGATTCGAATATTAATCAACACAAAAAGGAGTCGTTTTGATGATGTCGTTTCTAGCTTCATCCACACACATTTTTCGAAATGTATCAATTTGATGCAATATTCCACCGTTTTTGTGTGTGTGTGATATGGATGTGCTTTATAAATCTCTGTATCTAGACAGTTATTACACCTTAATCTTTGGACAAATGACATGATTGCAGCTGTTGCTCGATCAGAAACTCCATAATAACCACTGATGCTATTTTTACATTAATTCTCATTTACCACGGGTTTTTTTACTGTGTCATACAGAAATCCAATCCATCATCATTATTATCATTATATCAGCCATCAAATCCCCCCTCTCCTCTCTTTCCTCCGTTACATTTTTATTTCTTTAGAGTTCTATTTCAGTTTGTATATCTCCAGAATTTCACTTGAAATATTTTGATGGGAGTTATGGCTATTTTTTCCCATCCAAATCCAATCGCTAATCTGTGCATCCGTTTTCGGCAAGTCCAACAATCCAACCTTTCTCAACTCGTGCTTTTTTTCCCAGGAACATATAATTTAACTCACACTTCAAAAAATTCGGTTGACTTTATCAGAATTATATTATCCATTCATACAAATAAGATTTTTTTTCGGAAAATTTTGCTCACGTCAACAAAAAAATAAATAATAATAATAATAACATGCTACTTTATCAAGACACAGAGAACTTTTGATGATATCAAATTTTAGGAATGAAACATCGCGTTCCAACTTTGTTTGGAACGCGATGTTGAGTCTTTCTCAATTTATTATTAGGGTAATTTCAATCAGTTATAAGGGTACGTATTAAATAATATAGTACTCTCCTGTACTCAAAAACTTGAAAAATAGAAGTTTCTTGTGCAAATTAATTTTTTAAGTCACCATTTCAGCTATTTCACAAAAATTCACTTATTTTTTGTTGACGTGTTGTGACCTTTATACCATTCTTGTAAACAGCACATTAAGACAGTTTTAAGAGAATGAAATTTAATTGGAAAAAGTCGGATCGCCAAATATATAATGGACACTCAAAATCTTTTCAAGTAAAGATTTTGTTAGAACAGTTTTTACCACAATTTTTTGATGTTAATACTCAACATTCAAAAAGTACATAAGCAAAAGTAAAAGCGCTTACCGAATTATTGTCAAAAAAAATTATGAACTGGCGAGGGATGTCTCCGTTTCCAGAGCCACTTGTATATGTCACATGTTGACATGTAATTACACAAAAGAAAAGCAAGGCATTGAACTCTCGTAAGCTTCTAGTGATACTTAGACTTTAAGTAGACAAGGGAGGTTACACATTGATGCTAGATTTGTTAGAATCCATTAGGTTGTCTTCGCCCCTCCCTTGCCCTCCCCCACTCCACATATTTATCATATAAAAGCCATGTAGTGCTTCGTTGGAAGAAAAGTAATAGACACCCAGACTTTAAGTATTTATCATTTTTACTGTTTTTGAAATTTCAGTAGTTGTTTTGAAAAGTAGAAATTTAGTAGTAGTTGGGGTAACTATACTATCATAAATGTTTATGAAGAAGGGCAAATAACAGAAACTCTCTTTACAGGACAATTGAAAAATATTGTTGAAAAGAAAGACAAAAAAAATCTATATAATTATAATTTTATTTTATGACTGAATTTTCATCATAGTAAGACAAGACAAGCGGCCACAAACACATGCTATTTTAATATTGTTAACAATTGCGACAAAAAAAAAATTACAAAATGTTAACAGAGGCCATTGACATGTGTTCAGATTCCTGTACAGCAACGAGTTATACAACGTTCGCATTTAATTTACGTTTGATCCAGAATCAGAATTTAAAAATAAGCCTCGCAAGCAACAGCAAACAGACAACAAGATAAAGCTCAAATGCAGATTCGAAAAGTTAATTATTTCAGCTCAAGCTCTTTGCTCTCCTGTTCATGGTTAGTAAATTCTCGGAAGAAGAAAAAAAAAGATCAGCATATGCTTAAGCAACAGAGTGTCACCTAATCATAAAGCAGTACACTTAAAATATTTTTTAAAAAAACATTGAGAAAAATTAAATTATAGAAAACGCACATCAATTGAACATTAATACAAAATTAAT